TTCTGGCTTTTTCTGCTTATGTGGTGCTGAGGAATTGAACCCAGGGCCTCATGGCTCTACCACTGAGCCACCTTCCCAGTCCCATATAGAAGTACTTTGGCTGTCCATATTTCCAACTGCTATCTTAATCTTGTTGCTAATAATCACAAAATTTTTATGTCCTTTACTTGTTAATGTGTGTGTGTGTGTGTGTGTGTGTGAGTGTGTGTGTGTGTGTGTGAGAGAGAGAGAGAGAGAGAGTTGTGAGGTTCTTCGTATTCAATGGGGACTTTTCTGCCCGGGCTGGATTCAACCCATGATCCTCAGATCTCAGCCTCCTGATTAGCTAGGAGTACAGGTGTGAATCACTGGCACCCAGCTTTTGCTAATATCTTTAATGGTTCAATAACTCCTTTTAATTCCAGAGAGCCCTCAGTCAGAAGTTTTGGTTTAACTATGTGAGTACCATACAAACTTCTTTCAAAAGTAGTGCTGGTGATCGCACTTTGGACCTTATGTTTACTAAGAAGGGCTCTACCACTGAGCTATACTCTTAGGCCTTAATACAGACTTTTTGATGGGTAATTCTGATATCTTACAATATTTTCCATTTGTGAAGCTCAGGGATTTCCAATTCCTTTTGTTCACCTGTAACTAGAACCCTAGGACCTTATTAAAATAAACTTCCTCTTGAAGGGATCGTAAGAGAAAAATACCATAACAAGCCCTAACTTTGAATTCTGCTTTTGTCCAGTAATGAAGGAGGGAAACTGGCTTTCTTTTGGATCGACTGTGACTTCTGTGTGTATCTACTTCCTTCCACTTGATGAACTAGAAAGACGGTCCTCTGGCTTAGAATTTTTGTTGAAATACCAGCCCCAGCTGGCAGCTCTTCCTCTTGACTTCTGTATCACCCAAGCAATATAGGAATGTTGTTCCTGAAAACTTTTCTACCACTCAAGTCTCCTACAAACTGATCCTTGTGATAAGAACTTAATTTTGTATAGTCCTTGGTTGAACAAGAAGTCTGAATTTTTTGTTTTATCTCCCTCGACCTTGCCTCAGGCTATTCCTTTCCAAGTTGAGCTAGAGTCTGCCTACCAGATTGGGATCCAATTACTCATAGATCTTATCCTCATTTCCCTGTGCCTCAGTTTTCTCTTCTATAAACCAGAAGTAATAATGTGTCAGCACTGAGGTTCAAGGGATTAAGTGCAGCAATGACGATAAAGTACCCAGAATTGGCCTGGCACAAAGGAGGGGTTCCAGAAATGTGGCTGTTCTTGCCTTTTTCTCCCCACTGTGCTCTCCCTCCCACTGTCTCCTGGGTGGATAGAAAAGTTAAGTGAGCAGCAGGCACAGAGCTGCTGTGGAGATAGAACAGAGACATTTTCTGGCTGTTCTCTGCTATTCTTGCAGTGCTTGGCACCTCATGTGTCTTGGATCTATGAATGCCAAAGGGCTTGCAGAAAAACAGACTCCCCAGTCTGCCCCAGCTCACTGTGTGTGTTTTCTGGGCAGCACATGTGCCTGGCTATCCCCTCACAGGTGCCAGCAAGGGGCATAGGACACCACCACTGCAGACATTGGATTGCAGAACTGATCATGTGGGAATGAAACAGCCCCTTGGCTGAAACCGATGAGACATGGGGATGAGAAGTGTGTCCTCACTTATGTGAGCGTGTCTCACTTATGTGGACCTTGGCCCTGTGGACCTTGCTCAGTAGTCCTTGTGCTTTCAAATAGCGAAAAGGGAAATGGACTTCCATGGAATGAGAAATTATCCCAATCCTGTTGCCTTGATCATTATAGTATTACATATGCTAATACAAGCATCGAGAACAGAAAACAAAGCCTATAAGAAAACCTCATTCTAGTGCAGTCTTCAGTTAAGGTGCCCAGCTGATCCTGTTGCTGTGCTTCCTTAGATGGGGATGGCCTTAGACTATTGCCACTATTAGACTATTGCCTTATTTTTTTTCTGTTAGAGTCACATGTCATGGTTCAGACTGCGTTCTTGGTATCAGGCCCAAAAAAAAGTGAAGAAAAAAAAAAGATTCTTTCTCTAGCCAAAGGTATAAACAGGCTTAATTGGTTTATCCTCCTAAAGATCCAAGTTAAGTGTAACCAAAGTCAAGAGGTAATCTTTAGTAGCTTTACTGCCTTTCTAGAAAGAAAAAGGAAGGAAGGGGAGCCAAGAAGAGCTACTGTGCACATACCATAGAGCTTGAGAACATCACTTGTTTTTGTGATTTTTGTTCCTCTCTCTGGTCCCCCGTATGATGTACTGTAAATATTATTCTTAGTTGTTCTCTATTATTTTCTGTAGCCACCATGGGCTCTTCAAACATGATCCCTTAAAATAATTACCCTCCTTGGTTATCTTCCTTAGGGCCAGACTTGGATCTTTATGAGTTCTCCTGGTTTGATCTAATCTGATGCCCAAGTTTTGTTTGTTTTTTTTTTCCCTTTTAGTTATGTTTTCATATAGGGTTGCATACTTTGGCCTGGAGTTAACCTTAGACTAGGACCCTCTTACTTATGCTTCCTATGTGGCTAGGGTGACAAGCATATCACTCTACCTGGCTTATTTGTTGAGATGGTTTCTCACTAACTTTTTGCCCAGGCTGGCTTCAAACTGTGGTCCTCTTGGTCTCTACCACTGAAGTAACGGGAATTACCACACTCTGCCTACTTTTGCCTTTTTTTTTTTTTTTAACTATTTGTAGCCTAATAGCTGCAATCCAAATCTTCCTTCTGGGCCTTTGATATTTCTACTTATTTGTCTGTCATATTCTTCAAATGTGGTATGTCCAAAATAATCATTATTTCTGCTGCTACTGTTTTGTTTGTCTGTTTGGTTTTGGTTTTGTTTGGGGATATGTATTTTGTTTTTAGACAATGTCTCGCTGTGTAGCCCAGGAAGGCCTCAAGTTTGAGATCCTCCTGCCTCAGCCTCCAGAGTGAACGTTGGCATTATAGGCATGTATAACCATCATCAGCAAAGTCCAAGAGAGTAAAGTCTTTAAAGATTTTTTTAAATCTGTTTTTCTGCCAGGGCCTAGCACAATTATTAGGAGATGCTAAAAACACTTGGTAATCAGGGTAAATAATTGTTCAAAGTCAGGTCGACCAGATGTCCCTTCTGGATTTGCAGTCCACCAGATGGCCCATTAGGCAGCCAGCCCAGAGAACCAATAGCATAGGGGACCTTGATGTTTACCAGAGGTTGGCAGGGCAGTGAGGCCTGCTTCTTTCCATTCTTACTACCAATAGCCTGAATGGCCACAGCAAACACTTAACAATTCCGCAAGCTTTCGTGCCCTCCTAGCCACTCCTTAGGCCAGAGTAGGATTTCTAAAATACAAGCCATCAGAGTTGTGTAATGTACAATGTTTCTGGAATGATTTATAAACCATCTGTGCGGCTTACCAAGCCCCTACCATATCACATCCCTGCTTTACCGCTTTCACTTCTGTGAGTTTTGCTACTCTAACCTGTCAACATTTTTAAAAAGGAAATAAGCATTAAAAAAAATGCAAATCAAGGCCAGGCTTCTTTTACAATTGTCAGTTTTTTTAATTATTATTATTATCAAAGAGCTTTTATTCCTATTCCCATTATCCTCTGGAACTTCCCTCTAATACATGGAATTGAGTTAATACTGTTTTATTCATGGCATCCTATCGTGTTCTGTCAGGCTGCTCTCCGTTTCTTTTTCTTTTTCTTTTTTTTGCCGGTAATGGGGCCTAAACTCTGGGCCTGGGTGCTGTCCCTCAGCTCTTCAGCTCAAGGCTAGTGCTCTACCACTTGAGCCACAGTGCCACTTCTGGGTTTTTCTGCTTATGTGGTGTGAGGAATTGAACCCAGGGCCTCATGCATGCAAGGCAAGTACTCTACCATTGAGCCACCTTCCCAGCCCCCATTTTTTTTAACTTGTGCTCTTTTTCTTTCTTTTTTTTAAAATTAGTTTTATTTTTTAAATTTTATTGTCAAGGTGATGTACAAAAGGGTTACATAAGGTAGTGATTACATTTCTTGTCTAACTTGTTACCCCTTCCCTCATTTTTCTCCTTCTTTTCTTCCCTCCCCCTCAGTTTTATTTATGCTTATGTTGATTTGTCCCTTTATTCCTATTCTTCATTCTCCTCTGCTCCATGGCCAACTCTAAAGTGTGTGATGTGTATTCTTTTATTAGTGTTTTGGATTGTCACTTAGTGTATGAACATAGGGGGTCTTGTATATTTTGTTTTCTTAGCATTTTTGCTAATTGTGTGTATATGTTTTTGTTTTGTTTTGTTTTGTTTTTGTCAGTTGTGGGGCCTGAACTCTGGGCCTGGGCAGTGTCTCTGAGCTCTTCAGCTCAAGGCTAGTGCTCTACCACTTGAGCCACAACACTACTTCTGGCTTTTTCTCCTTATATGTTGCTGAGGAATCGAACCCAGGGCTTCAGACATGCAAGGCAAACATTCTACCATTGAGTCACTTTCCCAGCCCCTGTGTGTATATGTTTTTAAATTAAGTAAGTGACTACCAATTCTTTTATTTGTTTGTTTTTCTTACTTAACTCTGTTCCTCTTTCCTGTATATAATGTGGCCCATTGCTTATGCCTGCTCCTGGTGGGTGTACAAGGTCCACTGTATTGTTTTATAGTGTACATGCTCTATCTGGAATCTGCCCATTCACCATTTGGACTGCCTGACATGATGCTGAGACAAATGTCTTTTACTGTCTTCTGATTGACCTAGATGAGTTTTTCTTTGGGAAGGAACCTACATGTGGGGTAGAGTATAGACCAGTGAACTTCCTAAGACAATGTTCCCTGAGGACTAAGATCATATAACTTGTCTTCCCATAAATGTTAAACGCTTGCTTCAGATATACCAGCTTTCAGCCTGGCTCTAGAATTTTATAGTGATACCATTCAGAGAGGAGAGAAGAAGGCTGGGATTTTATTGTTAAGTCCTATATTTTATTTGTTTGAAAATTACCATAATAAAAGGGGGTTTTAAAAAGGAAATTTATCAGGCTGCTAAAGCATTCAGAAGTTTCCATTGTCCAGGATATGGCTGTGAGGTTCCCTTTCATTCTGTGTCCTGGGTAGAAAGCGCTGGTCACCCTTCTTCTGGCTGCACTAGGGACACTTCCAGTGGGCTGGGGTGGGGAGAAGGAGATGGAGAGGCCCCACTTGCTATTGTTTGCTGGAGGAATGAGAAACTACAGGTTCTTCTGCCCAGCATGACTTGATTTAGAATGGGGCAGAGGCTGATCTCTTTCCTGCCCTCCAGTACTGTCAAATCCTGCCCAGGTGATAACCAAAACAGATCCCTTCCCACCCACAACCCAGCCTGGTGGCAGGGGCACTGAGGTCACAGTCTGGGCACATGCACATGTGATTATCTGTACCCTTTATCAAAATCCCAGGTGGCAGGAAGCAGCATGACAACAGTGGATTCTTAACTGCCACTCTGAGCATGCTTCCCTTGTCCTATTTAACCCTCACCAGGGTGTGGCAGTTGCTGAAACCTTGAGTGGTAGAACAGGCAGCCTCTTCAGGGAATGGACTCAAACAGCAGACTGATATAGACTTAATGTGTTTTCTCCCTCCAGTTGCACCGCTAGCCTTTTCCCCACAGCTCCACAAGTATGATATTCATTCATCTAACATGTTTTCAAGAGCCTCATACATGCCAGGCTCTGGATACACAGCTATAAGGAGCTTATATTGTAATGGGGGCAACAGGCAGCAGGTGCAGCAGCGGTAATTGCTAAGAGGAAAATAAAACTGCTGGGTGGAAGCTGAGGGTTGAGAGTGGGGGCTTTTCTAGATATTGTTGACTAAGCGAGTATCAGAGAGAGGCCAAAAAGCAGGTGTGACATTGGTAGGGAGTGGGCAGGGGGGAAAAGGCTCATCTTTCACATGTTGCTGAGTGTTCAAGAGTGACTTTAGCCAGACATGCTATAATCCTTGCTACTCTGGAGGCAGAGATTGGGAGAAGCATGTTTTAAGGCCAGTGTGGGCAAAAAAATAGCAAAACCTTCATCTCAGCAATTTAGGCATGGTGGTTTGTCTGTAACCCCAGCTAGGGGGAGACATAGGTGGAAGAATAGTGGTCTAAGGCAAGCCTGAGCCAGAAATACAAGACGATTTGAGAAATAAAGCAAAAAAGGTTTTGTGAGGTCTGGGATATAGCTTGGTGGCAATAACAAAAAAAAAAGGTTTTCTTTTTAAAGGTTTGTAAGTGTGGCTCAAATGGCAGAGCACTTGCGTAGCAATTACAAGGCCCTGAGTCCAAATTAAATTTAGGATGCTATTATATAGAAGTCACCAATGAATAATGGTGAAGGAGATTTGGAGGATTGGAATAGGTTAAAGAGGGACTGGAAGAAAAGAAGCAAGATGAACAGCAGTGCTTTGGGTGCTTGATTGTAAATGAGGCTAGAGGTGTAGGTGAGATTGAGAGCATAGGTGTAAGGTGGGGAATGGCTCATGTGCACTGATTCCTTAGACAGGGCAATGTGTTTAATGGAACATCTTGTAAATGCCCCTCTTACATGCTTTAGCAAGTATTAAATGACCTTGATTGTGAAAGGTAGGGCCCTAGAGACCTGTTTCAGTGTTCTTCCTTCTTCTGTCAAGGAAAATGTGTTTTAATCTTCTACCTATAATCTTCCTCTCATTATAACACTGGTTCTGGACTTTGGGGCTGTAAGCCTCTAGACCTTTTGGACAATCTAAATCTGTGGACCCATAACCCTAAAAAGACATCCGTGACTGAGAACTTAACAGTATTTCTGGAGGTTGATCCTGAGCCCATCTCAGGAGGATCCAGGTCAAGAAGCTGGGTATACAGGGCTGGGAAGGTAGCTCAGCGGTAGAGTGCATGCCTTGCAAGCATGAGGCCCTGGCTTCAATTCCTCAGCACCACATAAACAGAAAAAGCCAGAAGTGGCGCTGTGGCTCCAGTGGTAGAGCACTAGCCTTGAGCTGAAGAGCTGAGGGACAGCGCCCAGGCCCAGAGTTCAGGCCCCATGACTGGCAAAAAAAAAAAGAAGCCAGGTATTCATTGCATCACTAGTTAGCTGCTGAAGGCTTTGAAAAGCAAGAAAGAATGAAAGCTCTCTGGCTATTTGTTTCCTCCTCCCTAATGGCTCATTAGTTCACCAAGAGTAAAAGTTATATTTAATGTTTAGACATATTTCATTATCACTTAATAGGTAGAATAAGTATTAATGGACAGACTGACTGAGTTGTTTATCCTACCTGAATGTGGTTACTAGCTACAGATTCTAGTGGTGCATGCCCTGAGTGATTGACTGTTTGTGCCCCACCTTTAACTCACATCACAGCCTTGATCCCCAGCGGGACCTTTGGGAGGTAATTGGCTTTAGATATGCTGGTTATGGTGGAGTACCCATAATGGATTGTGCCCTCAAAAGAAGAAATGATAATAAAAAAAAAAGAAGAAATGATAGCACTTTGCACCGATTAAGGACACAGCAGGAAGGCAGTTGTCTGCAAATCAGAAAGAAGATACCATATTTGCCTGCATTTTGGTCTTAGACTTCCCTACCTCTAGGACTGTAAGATGAAAATGCTTTTAAAACAATCTATCTGCAGCCCAAACTGACCAAGATACCTTGGTTCATAATTATTAGCAGGACCGAGGAACCTCAACTATTCCTCCTTTTTAACTCTGGTCCTTTGAAAGAATAATTGTATTTCCTGTAACATTTTGTGTTAGTTTTTTCTATTGTTTCTGTAAGAAATGACCACAAATTCAACAGCACATGTGTTTTCTTACATTTTGGAGATAAAAAGCCTAAAATAGGTACAGTGGTCCATACGCGTAAATCTAGCTACTCAGGAAGCTAAGATTGGGAGGATTACAACCTGGGACCATTCTAGATGATAGGTAGATAGGTAAGTAGTTAGATGCAAGAGAGAGAGATTCTCCTCCCATTTTAAGAGTTTTAATTGGGGCTGGGAAGGTGGCTCAGTGGTAGAGTGCTTGCCTTACATGCATGAGGCCCCGGGTTTGATTCCTCAGCACCATATAAGCAGAAAAAGCCGGAAGTGGGGCTGACGCTCAAGTGGTAGAGTGCTAGCCTTCAGCTGAAGAGCTGAGGGACAGCGCCCAGGCCCAGCGTTCAGGCCCCACGACTGACCAAAAAAAATTTTTTTAATTTATCTGCATAGTCCTTTTTTCTATGTAAGGAGACATGTATAGATTTTGGAGATTGGGATGTGGACAGTTTGGAAGGAGGGCTTTATTCTGCCTATCACACATTGGTTTAGCTATGTACACACATGCTCTGATTTCATGGTTAGGTTGGTAAAAAATATTCCTGTTTTACAGAGGACAAAATGGAAGCTCAGGATGGTGAAGTGAGTGACTTTCCTTTGGCTTTATTATTCATGAACAGAGAGACAGCACTTGAACTCTAGAATTCTGAACTCATTTGTGTGCCATAGTGTTCTATCTGGATACTTAACGTTTTAAATTGTTTCCATGCATTTCAGTTAATGGCATTTGTTGATATTTATGTTCTTTAAGCCATTATTCTGAGAAGTTTATGTGCTGACTTGAAATAGGGAAATATCAAAATCAATGTAAAACTAGTCTTCGTGTGAATGTGGGGAAGACATTTCAAGCATATGTAGTTCTCTTACTTCATAAGCATGTGCTTGGAAGGTCCAGTACAGAGGCTACTTTGGCTTAATGTTTTGTCTACTGACAACTGCTTAATTGATGTCACTCATATCACAGACACTGTGCTTTCTGAGCAGATTTCTTATCATTCAGAATCCCTTGACCTTGGATCATCCTCAGGGTCCTGCTTCCATGTTAGCTTTCCACCCTCCTTGCTCCCATTTTTACCTACTAGATTCACGTCATCTGAGCCAGAGTGGGGGAAAAACAATAAAGCAGTATACTTTGCCTTAGTAGAGCCTATGCACTATTTTGGGAGCATAGAGTTCATGATCCTTCTCCTTTGTGCTTTGTGTCCAGAGAGTCTCCAGGAAATTCCTTTGGACCTTTGAGTCAGTACCTTGTAGCTCTATAGGGTCTTTGCATTTTTTTCTCAGTGATCATCTTAGTTGTAGGTGACAGAAAAGCAAGGCTGAAGCATGGGGGCCTTTTTGCTTCCGCATAGTTCCCTTTGATAGGTTGATCGCTGCCCTGCTGTTGAGCTTTGAAAGCAACTCCAGACTATTCTTTTTTTGGCTTCTTCTTCTTCTTTTTTAGATGCCATTTCAGGCCACAGTTGTGTTCTACAGGACTGTGTCATCTGAGTTCTTGCCTCTACTTCAGTGTTGGAGGTACAACTGTGCAGAGGTTGCTCTGATGTAGAGGAGGCCAGTCTAGATTCAAGCACAAAGCCAAACCTGCAGTGTTGCTGTGTGCCAGGGCCCAAGCTTGAGCTGATAGTTTCTGTGAAATTAATATTGCAGCATGTGCTCTGCAACCTGGGATTGTATATAGTGGGAGCTGTGGACCTCCAGAGACATGAAGGCCGGCATTAATCTTTGGCATTAATCTTTGTTTAGTTATACCATACAGGCCAATGGTTTTATTCCATAAGAGCAGTTGCTTGAATATGAGTGCAGTTGTCCAATTGCTAATGAATCAGATACTATGCTTAACATAATCTAATAAAGTATTCAAGCATATTCTTTTTCATCCGTGAAAAATTTCAATCAGCTAGTGGGAACTCACAAATGAACTAGTAGTTCTATGTAGTTGTCTTTGTCCCTTTTCTTTTCTAATGCTCCTTTGTTCCTCCAAACTGACATACACACCTGCATGTGTGCACATGTGTGTACAATATAAAAAAGGGCTACATAAAGATTAGGTTTTTTAACTATATTAATAAAGATCCAAGGACTTGGAATACATTTTATATACAGTGGAGAAGCAGGTGTACTGCAGGGCAATTCCTAAGCCAATCCTGTTTCTTTGGGGAATTTTGGGGGGAACCTGCTACAAATGAGGCTCAACCTGCAAGGTGGGTATTCTGCTCCAGCATTTGCCCTACCCTCCCAACTGGGAGAAATGATACTGCTTTCTATTGTAATGAAGAAACAGTCTACAGATATTACAGATCTGATAACTGCATTTTTTGCTCAGAGACCAGTTTTTATTGTTGCCTTGGGTACTTTGTTTTAATTTTTTGAGATGAGCTGGCTATTGGCCCTACTCTTTGCTGCTGATTTTATATGGCATAGGCTGGGGAATTGAGCTCATTCGTAAGAGGATTCTCAGACATGGCCTAGACACCAACAATTGTGAGTTATGGGGTCCAAAGAGCATAGGTGCGTGGTATGTTGGGGACTGATGTGGATGGAGGTGGGAGAAGAATGTGGTATCCAGTGAAATAACTGAGCACTTTTGGCCACGCATGTCTATCCTGATTGCTTATCTGTAGGTAATCCCTAATGGCTAAGAACTAGAAGAAATTCTGGCTGGAGATTTGCATACAGTCTTTCTCCTTTAACAGATGTTCTATTCTTTAAATAAGATACCTCCAAAATGCAAGTCAACTGTTCCCCCTGAAGACTTTACAACATCCTTTTTGGTGGTAGTTGGAAACCCCTAAACCTGCCTGATCATGGTAGCCAGGTGACAAGGAACTATAAATCAACATTGGGAACTTGATTGACACATTTCCATCTTCTTTTCTAAAATTTTTAAATTATCTTTAAGTGGTTGCACAAAGAAGTTCCCATTCTACAAAACAGTATATGAGTACAAAGTGTCTGACAACATCGTCACCCATTGCTCCTAACCCCCACCCCTTCTCTCACTTTTCTTTTCTCCTTCTTTTTTAATCATTTCCATCTTCTTAAACCTGCTTAGGCTCATGCCATCAGATCATCCTGCCCTTGTCCCTACCTCTCATTCTCTCCCTCCCAAGGAACCCTTGTCCCTGGAAGAAATGGGTTAGAATGTCAAAACGAAAATTACCAGTGAGTAGCTTGAGCTCCTGCTGCTGACAGATGCTTTTCTTGTTCTTCACACTGCTGGAATGCTGGACTTACAGCCTGGACTTGCCATGCAGCAGGGCAGGTTTGAGTAATGGGACCCTTCAGTGCACACGAAGGGTGTATTCCTTCCCTTTGTTCCCAGCTGAAGCAGCTCCCATCGAGCCAGTTCTGGTTTACAGCAAATAAACAGGAATAACTTTATTGGGCATGTGATTGAGTCTGCTCAAGTATGTGTTTTTCATATATTCATTGGTTCTAAGCCATACACATCTTAGAATTTAACAACTCAAAAATCTGGATGCAGGGCTGGGAAGTTGGCTCAGTGGTAGAGTGCTTGCCTTGCATGCCCGAGGCCCTGGGTTCAATTCCTCAGCACCACATAAGAAAAAAGAAAAAAGCTGGAAGTGGCGCTGTGGCTCAAGTGGTAGAG